TGGATTCTCTATCCGATTTCGTGCGGTTGCTCTTCCCTTTTTTTTTTTTTTTTTTACAACGCGATGCAAGATTCCATTGCAATCGACGCACATGGTTTGCTAACACCCTCGTTCATATAGATTTCATTTGGGGTCGCGCCGGCCATGGTGGCCTTTACTATCGGCTTTCGATCTACTCTCGACACCGTCGGTCTCGCCTTCTTCGTACTATGTGGCCTAACGCGTCTTGCTCGCTTCAACGTTACCGTTTCAGTGCTTCCCAAGGACGCTACAGGCAAGAGCAAGTTCTTCGAGGGTACACCGATCCCGACGTCTCTCTTTCTCGATGGCCTCATGGCATATTGGGTGTATCGTGGCCAGGTCCTCAACGACGTGCCTTATGGGGCATGGTTAAAAGACTCGGCGCTAGAGTTCCATCCCGCAGTACTTCTGTTCATGTTGCATGGATGCCTAATGACGAGCAAGACCATCCGCATACCCAAACCGTAGGAGACACCGTCTTGCCCCCCATTCATTTTGTTTGGCATTGAGCAGCGGCGCTGATTGGACGACAATGAGCCGTTTTGTGAGAGGGAGGGGTTGAGCAAATGGTTCATGCGGTGCGCCGTGGATTGGAGCCACTCGTACATGGCTGTGATCGAAGACGCGGGCCAGGGCAATTATGACTTACAGTCGGAACTGACTTGAAGCAGGCAGAGCGTAAGCCGGTTTAAGCGCTGAGAGGAATCTGGGAAGTTGAGTAGAGTAACGAGGTACATGGAAATGGGAATATTGATACCGGAATGACATACGAGGACCGGGTAGCAATTCTTACAATACCCGTAGCTTCAGATGGAAAACCCATGCTTGAAGAAATAAAAATGAGATGCATGATACCCAATAGCGGATAATGGGGAGAGTCGGGTACACGGAAACTTGGGAGGTCGTGAAATCGATGACTTTTTGCACATGATAGCCATCACAATTCATCAAGTGAGCCGTGTAGAGATGCTACAACAGATCCCCCAACATGTTGAAGCTGTGAATACGGCCCTCCTGTTCAGACTCCGATTGATAGGTGTTGCGGTAGGAAAGAGACTGGGCTCACCACTGTCATACAGGGGACCTCGTGGTAACATGTGCATCAGTAGGTACTTGGCCTTTTTACACGCCACACAACAACTGCCCACCGAGAACAACACAAAACTACCAAGTATGGGCAACCAACTACATGTTTTCTCGGGAAGACAACTGGCAGGCTCTAGTCTTGGGCGAGATGTGCAGTATGGCGGGAGCGCGACGCCTAGCCAGGGGAACTGGTCACTGGGACAGACGGCTGTCGAGTCATGGGCGCGGATCACTGCAGCATGGTATAATGTGCGTGCCGTGAGCATTACAAAGTCCTCCTTGTGCCAGTTGGCATAGTTGACATGCGCTGGCTTCTCCATGACACGTATGCGTTTTGGGGGGTGGAGTACCAAGAAGTCGTGTTCAATTTCTGTCATGAAAATATCTCCTGTTGCAGCCAAGTATACAGTCTGTATACACACGCGGCTGAGGGAAAGTATTCCGTTCAAAAAAGCAGCGTACAGCAAGCTAACAAGGAAAAACTGTACGAGTAGAGGCGCCTTCATAATCCAAGAAACATAGCCTAACAAATAGTAGTAGGAACAAGACACACAAGACACCAACAAAAACACCACAGCATATACAGTAGAACGATATAGGAATAGCATCTATCAAGGAAAAGAAACATGAAAGGAGCCCCGTCAATCGCTTTTACGAAACAAAACAAAAAAAGCCTTCAAAAAAAAAGGGAACACTCAAGGGGAGACAACACTACTACCCTTCGGGAATTTCCCGGGGATTGGCAAGTTCGAGATAGTGGCAACGCTATCCGTCCTGTCGTCAGTTTCTCTCTTCGGTCTGCTCGTCCCTCCCAAAGGCGTTTCGGCCGGAATAGTGTGTTCGGTGGCGCTGGCTTCGGGGACTACCTGGAGGGCTAACTCTCGTTGAGTTTCGGATCTAGGAATATTACTGGCTGCCAATACAAGGGGACTTATTTTGTCGGCCGTAGCATTACCATTTGCATAGTTGTGACTGTCTTTTTCGGTCGCGTTAGAAGTGGTACACTCTACCACTTCGCCTTCACCGGGATGAACAGGCTCGGTATCAATGTTTTGCCCGGGTGCATTTGAAAGCTCAGAGGCTTCAGGGACAACGTTGGTGGTTTTTCCGTTTAGGTCCTCTTGATGTCCTTGTGAACCCACAAAGGCGCCGGTAAAATACCCACCATCTTGGTTTGACGGATGGGGAACTGGTTCACTTGTGTATGGATTAACGCCATCGTGATGCGCCTGTTGACTGGCTATGGCAGCCTGGGATGGCATATCTTCCATTGGAGTTTGGTCGGTGCCTCCATAGCCCATGTGATTCTCCTGGCCATGGTGCAGATGTTGACTCTCACGTCCGGCTACAGACGCAGCGACAGGTAGAGCTCCCGCGGCCACATAGGCCTGGGCATCCGGAGAGTGATCCTGGTGACCGGAGCTTACACTAGATGGCGATTGTGGCGCCTGTAAGCCACGCTGTGCGTTGATTTGAAGATCTGATGGAAACCGCCCACCTGGTTGAGGCCGTCTGGAAACCATGTCCTCTCGTGGCTCTGGGTTGACGTCCATTTGATTTGCAGAGAAAGGCTCTTCGTCATCCTCGTCCACGATACCATCACTGCTAACGGATCGATGGGATGATCGGCTTAAGCTTCGAGAGTGGGTGCGAACAAACTGGGATCGTTCTTCGGGGGTTTTTTCAGTCAATGCCTTGATATCCTCGTACCATGCCATCATAGTATCATGACTTTCGGCTCTGAAAACCCAGGTGTGCCCGCGGTGTATCGCGCCAGTTTGTCGCCCCTTGAGAATGAATTTGTTGGATGAGCCACCCTCGGTCGAGTGGGAGCCAAGCTTTTGCTCGGGCAAGTACAGTGACATGACCGGGGCTTGTGCTTTGTCCGCCGACTTGAACTCGTGGAGGTGTGTGGTAGAAAGGACATACCTGGGATTAACTTGTTAGTCGACCCGTGGTACTTGCTGATTTAACTTTGAAAGCAGTATGAATCGCAGAATAAACAGCAGGCACCGAAATGAAGAAATGCGAAAAAATACCGGGGTGATAATAACTTACCATCCGGCTGTGTAGCTCTTCAAATATTTGCTCTTGCGCTCCAGAAGCCCAGCTCGAATCTCCTGTGCTGAGACGTGATCCTGGCCAGGGTAATGGATCTGATCAGCGGACCGCATGGGAACGGTGGGGTCAACAATCTGGTCTTCGTGTGTGACGAAATGAATCCATTCTTGGTCCTTGGGCATGCTGATGGGTCCATCGCGCAGTTCATCTACCACTGCGTAAGCATTGTCGGCTTCGCGCTTGAGAATACCTGCGTAAGCGTTATACGCCTTTTGGATTTCCCCAACAACAATTGACTCCAGCTCACGACCAGAGCCTTCAAGGTTCAAATATGCCTACGAGAATGGTAAGAAAGGTGTGCTTGAAAATATTGTCTCCCAGTCGGTAGGAAGATGTCGGCTGAGGGGGTGGTTGCTTGCCTGGTGAAGGTAGTTCTCTTCGTCTATTTGGCGCTCGACTTGTCGGTCGACTGCGAGGCGCATCAGATAGGGATCTTGCTTCCCAGTTGTAGACGAGGCGTCAACTTCCGTCTTGTCGAGCACATCGGCAAGAGCACGAACGGCTTTGGAGGTGGCCTCCATCTCGCGATCCACTGAGTTTTTGAAGTCACCAGATAAGTGCTTGATTTCCTTGATCTTCTGCTGAAGATCGCTTCTCAACCCTGTCAGAGCTAAGATTACATCCTCCTCGATTTCCTTGGACTTATTGGCTTCTTGAATGGCAGCTGTGTTGTAGTTACGGAGAAACTGCAGGGCATCGTCAATCCCGGCAGATCGAAGGAACTGCGGGGGCGTCGAGATATTGTTTGCAACATTGGCAAGCTTGACAAGAGCCTTGGACCTTTGCTCGTAGTGCGACTGGATCTCGCGAAAGTAGGTTATCAAGTCTTTGAGAACCTTTCTCCAGGCTAGAAGTATGCTGGCATTAGCAGAGTTATCCCAGGTTCGAGTGTGCGGCAAGAGCTAGAGCCATAGTCACGGATGACGAGATGGCGTTGTATATATGGGGAACGAAAAATCACTTCACATACTCTGGAATCTGTTGGCAAGGACATCTGTTGGAGTGCCAGACGTAGGGATAGGGCAGTAAAATGCGCTGTGAGCATCATCCCGGTCCGAGGCCGAATGCAAGGCCAAACTCCTAACACTGCCGGGTCTGCTACTTCGGCGACTGCTACTGCGTCTGAGGCTGCTGGTTCGTCTCATGGACGACTTCTTACGAAGTGTGTTGTTTCGCACGGGAAGCTGCTGATCGTCGCCAGCAGCGAAGCTGTGCACGGAATTGGAGCGCTGCATGGCGGCGAAACCAGATCGGTAGCTCTCGTCGATGATGGAGCTGCCGCGCTGGCTGGCGTCCCACTCCTCGGCGAATCTGCCCACGCCTGCCAGGAGAGCAGGAGATGCAGTCTTTCTGTCTAGCGCGTGCTGGTGCTCAGTATAGGAGCCTGAGAAGCGTTGTGTTGGTGATTGTATTCCTGTCGTTGCTCTTGCTGTTGCTCTTGCTGTTGCTGTTGCTGTTGCTGTTGCTGTTGCTGTTGCTGTTGCTGTTGCTGTTGCTGTTGCTGTTGCTGTTGCTGTTGCTGCTGCTGTTGCTGCTGCTGTTGCCGTTGCCGTTGCCGTGGGTGACTCTGGGACTGGCTGTGTGAGAGGGAGGAACTTCGGTTCAGGTTGGCATTGGAAGTCTGCTGCGGGAGAGAAGACGACACCAGACGATCCATGACGGAGGTGGAGCTATAAAGGCCGCAGGGCCAGAAGAGCAAGCGAACCTCGACAATTTGGAGACAGTTATTGAGGCAGGGAGGGTGAGGAAGCGACCTGGTCACAGATCCGAGCGCAAACAGACGGGAACGGTAGGACGGAGGGGGGGGGTGGAGGCGTGTGTGGGGAGCTCGGGAGCTTGGGAGCTAGGAATTGGGGAAGGCAGGAGGGAGGAATGGCGCCACAGACTCGGAAAACCACCCAAACTACGGAGTACTCCGTACCTACTCGGATGTTGCAACCTTATTGGTGCAAGTAAGTCGACGGTGGGTTGCGACTGGTACCGCCAGTCCATCTGCACACGATTACTAGTAGTAATACCATCAATGGCTTACCCCTGATGCCTTCTAGATGCAACAAATATCCGGCTCGACATTGAACTTGAATTAATCTCAAGAGATCCCCGACATGGGACTCAGTCGACGACTCCTCCACCACCACCCATCACCCACTCAAGTAGTCCCAAGGGGCTGGGCAGGCAAGGCGGGCTCCCGGACATGCGTTGACGCAATGGCTTGACTCCCAATGAGACTTGGCCCGAAGCTAGCACACTCCGTCTCTCATGGCTGTACGTCCATTGATGTCATGGAAGCAATGGGAAACAAGGTCAAAAACGACATTTGGACAGACATGGAGCCCAGAAGTAGCTACATTTCTGTTTTGCCCTGCAGCGCTGTGACCTGTCCTAGGTCGTCACTATGCGTCAATCACTGCAGTAAAGAGGAAACAGGTTCATGACACTTGGACGTGGCTACAGAGCTGTGGCCTCCCAAGATATCATGGAATCTGTCTTCCATGATTCATCCGTGTACGTAAATATGGGCGTGCATCTCAGCCATTTCGAGTCAGTCCATTCCCGTGAACCTGCACGGCCAACGAGTGATTATACCGCAGTGATGCCTGAAAATATGTCACGATGGACGTGCTGGAATCTTTATTTGCGATACGGCAGTGATAAGGTCCAATATGCGGAAGCTATTCAAACAACCCCCCCCCCCCCCCCCCCCCCCCTTTTTTTTTTA